CTGGGAGGGCTTAGGGAGGCGCTGATGATGAAGAACCCCTCTTATGCTATTGCCTTTGTGTGTTTAACAAGCAGTCCTTCAATATTTTCTAGGTCAGTCAGTTCGGTGAGCTGTGTGGTAATCCATTTCTTTTTGCGTGCAGAACTATGATCTATTTAATGTGGCACAACCGGAGCTACTACTCTGCTCTCAGGGCTACACTGACGGGAGCCTCCATTCAGACTCAGAGCCAGCATCGTGACATTCTGATCACTGGAACATCATCAGATTAGGTTGAAAAATGGGTTAAATACCAGCTGAATCGGTGCCAGCTGGCAGATACTTCACCAACAAGTCTGCTGTTACTGTATCCGCTGATGCAAAGACCTGATAAAGGTTTTGCTGGTAGTGGATTGTTAGCTTTTCAAACTCCCATTTGCCCAAACTGGGGTATGGCCATAAAATATTTCTGTCTGATGTCAAAATTTGACCCCTGATTTCTGCAGATTAAAAAGATAATCCAGTTTTCCTCAGACTCGGCTCAGGAATAAAACATGTTGGTCAGGTTACAGTTCACCAGCAGAACAGATAAATACAAGGATTCTTCATGTTCCTGTGTGTGGACCTTGTTTTTAAGTCTTAAAGTTTAGTAACTTTTGAACAGTTTGCTCAGTTTCTTGAGAAAAAAGGTTGTTTCTCCTCATTTGTCATCTTTCCTGAGCATGTAAACAGACTTCTCAGACTGAAAAGTATTTTACATCATCAGATCCTTCCTCCATTCAGCTTTATAGTAATTTATGAGATTGAGAAATATTCTTGGAGAGGTTTGTAGATTTGAGATAGTTTTAGTGGGAAGAGTGTCAGAAGAAGTCATCCCAGAACCTGATTGTTCATTTATTTTTACATCCATTCACTGTTTATACGCGCTTATTTTTGCATGATGTCAGGGGCTGGTGTTCATCTCTAGCCATTGAGGACCCAGGGTACACCCTCGGCAGGTCACCACTCTACACAAGACTTAGAATTATGTACACATGGTTTCCTCAGCAAAGTGTCCTAAGGGCAATTTGGAGTAAGTGTTTAGGCTAACAGTCTGACTGTGGTAACCTACACATGCAGAGGGAGAACCTGCAAATTCCACGCAGAAAAACCTCAAGTCAAGATCCGAACAAATGAGGTTGTTGCTGCAAGGCAAAGGTGCTACCAACATCACTCTGTAGCCTTGCTAGAGATACACATTTTGGGTTGTTTTAAATGTGGGGCAGAAAGGAGGAGAGTCCTCATCAGAACTTTCTGTCCCTGACAACTACTGAGAATAGGCATCAGTGCATACAGAGCAGAGTTTCCTCCAGAAAACCTGCTAGGCCCGGTGTTAGGGTACTAGGGCGGTCTGCTGGTGGTTCACCATGTTTTTGTGCAGGGCCGTCCCCTCGCTCCCAGTTCAACGCATCAACTATAAGCCTACCCTAATTTGTCTTTACTGACACCCTGCTTAAAATAAACAAACAATGCTTAGGGGCCAAGTAAAGTCTGGTGGCCCACCAGATTTACAATACAGTGGGGGAAACCCTGCAGAGTCACAATCTAATGAGCCATTGAAGTTAAAATAAACACAATTCTACAAAACTTTAATCTCCTGTTTTTGCTAGTATAGGAGATTATAACAAGGTCAACAGCATGTTTACCTTGTTTTGATATGAGTTATTAATTTAGTTTTAACATTTTTCTTTGTGATTCTATTTAAATGTGTGCAAAAAATTTTCAGCTTAAGTAGGTTAGAGTTTTGTTTTTATTAAAAAAAAATTGAATGACTAAAGTTTAGGCTGTCACTAACTGCAGCTGTCTGCATACCTGAACGTAGCTAAAGCTGCTGGTCACATGACCCAGAGGAAGCCACAGTGGCTTCAATCACTCTCACTGTCTCCATCGCAATATTGGGTTAAAGACCTATAAACCCAGATTTAACCAGCCACCAAAATAATGTGTGTAACCTGTAATGCAGGCGAGCTCATAGCCTGGTGTCTTGCAGATTATGTGGTTTACGTAATGGGGACTTGAGTTTCATCCTGGAGTTTCAACACAGGTCATTTCTAAATATCATAAACGGGAAACTGCCAGGAGAAACCAGATGCCTCTTTTAATCCTCAAAAAGGCTAGAATCTCAATACAGTTTACAGTTTTTACCATGTGTTTTACCAGAATGGGTGGGGAAATTATTCTTATGCTCACAATTTATTCTATTAAATTTAAATGCTATACAATTTCTTTCAACATTAGTGAAAAAAGTAACAAATTGCAATATCTTATCAAATTTGTCAGCTTAAGTTAAATATAAAGAAGCATGTTATTGTCAGAATTGGTGGTTGGTAGTGGTGAGGATAGACGCAGAGACCCAGGTTATGGTGAAGATGATGATGAATTTAATAATAATGATGCTCGTAACAGTCCAATACAGGCAACACGGCGGAGAGACTAGCACACAGCTAAACACCGGTAGCAACTGATAAACAGGACTGGAAATGGGAGCTTACACTATCCAGGACTTCACAGTTCGACTGGACAAGCGCACTTAGACAGGGACTAAGACATAGACACAAACAAGGACCTGACAAGAGACAAAGACAACAGATGGACATAAATACACACGGGGTAATCAAGGGAACGAGACACACCTGGGAGACAATCAACGGGGACATGGAAGGCAGAGACTGAGACTCACAGGGAAAAGGATAACAATAAGCACAGAAACAACTCAAAAATAAACACACAGAAACACGGATCATGACAGTTATCTTTGTAAAGACAAAATGTTTAATCGTCACAAGTTTTCTTTACTACAGTACAAAAATGTGTGTTTGTTACGAATGCAGAGGCAGCAAAGGAGAGAGTGACAGAGGGGGATTATTGTTGTTCAGCGGGTTAATCTGTGGCTGTAGTAAACATGCTACTGTCCAGGGTTCAGAACACTTTCTGACAGATGGCCAGAGATACATCAACGTGCAGTGTTTGTAAATCCACGTGTTCACGCATAAGCGTGGAAGAACACATGTTCATCAGTAGTTTTTTAATCTTTTTTTATTTAGGTTTTTTCATCGAACCTCCAAATTCTTTAATCAGTTTCACTATTTTTCTCTCCACAACCAAACTACAAGTTGACTTTAGTTATGCCACACATGTACAGACACTGGATTCTGTTTATATGACATCCTTAAATAAAAATTTTAATTTTTATATGACATTGTTGGTACTTGGCTCATTAACACTTAATGAACTACAAGATGTCCTGATAGGATCCAGAAATATTTCCTACATGTTAAGAGAAAACTTAACATGTCCAATAGATATCAGGTTGTTTCAAATTGTTTTTATTTATATTTTCATAGAGGCAGACATAAGTTTAATATCACCTTTATAACAATTGTTTTGAATATTTTAGATATTTAGATGACTAGCCTTTTGGTTCCAGCAAGCAAGTAGAAATTGGGTCTTTTTTTGTTGCAGGTTCTTCCAGGAGAATTGATCTTTCTCATTTCGGAGATTATCTCTCAGGAATACAGCAGTGATAAGATTTTACTGAGGTCTCGTTGGGAATGTCAGCAAAAGTTCAATGCTGAATCTGATTTTTTTTTTTTGTTAGGAAATTAAACAACCTATAAACTGAAAGCAAACCAAGTTTTGGGAATTAAAAAAAGTTCTCCTGTCCCCATTCCTTTGTGCCATTTTCTGGTTTCTGAGGGACAAGCAGTTTTTATCAGAGCAGCCGGCTGGTATTTTAGTTCTGCTGCAGGAACCCATGGGATGTTCCTCTGTCAGTGCAAAGGCAGCGCAGTAAAGCTTCAACAGGAATGTGTGAAATACTGAAATTAAATACTGAAATCCAGGACTACAAACATAGTTAGTCATTAATGAGGTGTTATATAATGCTTCATTTATAACCAGTATTTTATTTATTAATCCAAGGTTGAGCAAATAATTAGATCAAGCAACTATGATGGAAAAAGTAAATTTCATTTAATAATAAACTAAATATATATTTTCTTCTGACAAAAGTGGACGTTGCAACTGATCAATACAATGTGGCCCATCATACTGACAAATGAAGCTTTAGATTTAGATTTTCTGTCTTGAATATCTTATATTTATATGTAATTCTATCTATGTAACGGTATTTACTGCCAAAAACAGGAAAGAAAATACATCGGTTTTCAAGTGAAAAACTGTTTTTTATTAAACATATGACATCAAGTGCTTGATTTTCAATGTTATGTTAACTGGAGGTGACCTGCAGACCTAAAACTACTTAGATCTGCATAAAGGGGTTACCAGCATAGAAATGAGGGCAGCCAAGGCTAGAAAAACATCATTTTAAGTTTTTCATGGTTTCTCATCTCTTCTTGGTGCTTTATTTTATCTCCTAAAGTTATATTTGTTCAGTTTTAAGACTGATGTTTCCAAATGACTGATCACGTTTTAACCAAGATCTTCTGAGTCATATTGTTGAATCGACACCAGTTGAATGTAGTTATTGTAAAGTAAACAATCTGCTTTTCTACTTTGAAAATAACTCTGAGTCCCCAGTACTGAGTTTGCAACTCCTCAACGAGTCAACGATTGGACGTTTCAGCAGACTGGGCTATTGTATGTTTTCATAAACTACTGTAAGATTTGTTCGTAGTCCAAGTCTAAGTTGAATTTTCTTTTTTCAGGTCAGTGTAACTTGTACCTTCCTTCCATCACAGTCTGAACAACAGAAACAGAGTCAGAAATGATGGTGGGATAAATTACAAATTACACCCAATCTGGAAACTTTCATCAATGTGAAGGTTCTCTTGTTATCTTAATACATCAGTATTATATTCTCTATAGATCAGTTGTCAGATTCACCAACCATCAGTATGTGTCCTGAATGTATCGCCTGGTATCTCGTTCCTCATTTGTCTTATATTTTGTTCCTGATTAGTAGATATTGCTCTCTACTATGAAGGGCTAAAAGAAAGCTTTTTGGCCTTTGTGTGTTCCAGTACGGACGGTCGGACAGCTACCGGGTGGCCACCACACAGGACACGGATGACAAGGAGACTCAAAAGAAGAAGGGAGGAAAGGACATGGATGACCTGAAGAAAGAAGTACCCATCGTACGTGCTCTTCCTGTGTTTCAGATACTGATGTTCAGCATTCATCTGCGTTACCCAGGTTCATTTGATGAAGAACTGTATGACTAATGGTTAATGTGGAAGCAGAGAGATTATCAGAACCAGAAGAGTAAAATCAAGTCACCTGATCTTCAGTTTTTAAATGAAATAATAAAGAAGATGTTTTTAGCACTTCGTCCTGCAGGTTGTGGTTTAACATGGACAACCTATTTAATTTCTTTGTGGAGTGATTTATTTCTCTAAGAGGCAGAAGATGTTCAAACCCACAGCATAGCTTGTTGATTTAAAGCCACTTAACATGTTTCAGATGAAATAATATCAAACTGAAGATAAAAAAAAATGCTTTGCTGTATTAAAAACAAGGATTTGCTGTCCTACGTTTAGTGGTTTTCCAGGTGCAGATTTTGAACTTATATAAGAATAGTTGACATGAATTTTGATGGCATTTATCTGTCAGCTGGAAGGTTGTTGGTTTGATCCCACCTTCCCACCATCCTGTGTTGAAGCTATCTTAGGAAAGACCCTAAAAGTGTTAAAGTGCTCAGGTTTGTGTGCTAACAGGTGAATGCGACTCATCAGTAAGACTTGAAATGTTCTTTATGAATGTTGCCTTTTATGTAGGTTTTTAAATTCACCGCCCATCTGTTTTCTCTGCAGACGGAACATAAAATGTCCGTTGAGGAGGTTTGCCGGAAATACAACACGGATATCGTTCAGGTAAGATATTAACTTCAAACCACACAGATCAGTCTGAAACTTCCTGTTTCAGGACAACAACAGCAGCTTCACCTCAGTTAGAACATCAGTTTCAAAACTCTCTTTTTTTTCCCCCAGAAATGTTCTGTTTAAAACAAATATTCTCCGTCCTAAATGCTTTGCTTCTGGGCTCAACCTTTCTTTGGAGATTTGTTTTCATGTTTGTTTATATCTATGACCCTCCTACTGATTGGTTGGTATAGATCCCCTCTCTGTGTTTACCACACCCAGGGTTTGACCAATGCCAAGGCAGCAGAGTTCCTGGCCAGGGACGGACCCAATGCCCTGACCCCACCCCCCACCACTCCAGAGTGGATCAAGTTCTGCCGTCAGCTGTTTGGTGGCTTCTCTATCTTGCTGTGGATCGGTGCCATCCTCTGCTTCCTGGCCTACGCCATCCAGGCTGCGACAGAGGATGATCCTCCTGGGGATAATGTAAGTGGATGGTGGTCACAAACATTCATGCTTGAAGTTGCTTTAAATGGAAATGTAGCTTCTAACATTGTTGCAATGTAATTTTAGTGGAACTATGGCAGATAGTTACTGAATCAGGCTATGTTCACACAGCAGGTCCTGATGCTCAATTTCAATTTTTGCTGAAATCTTTTATGTTGTTTTTTTGGTGTGGACATTCATACTACTAATTAAAACCGACTGCCATGAGACCTCTGTGCAGATTATAACACAGAGCATTCTGGGTAAATACAACCAAAACAAAAGTGTGTGTCTGGCGCTAGCTGGTGAAATGGTGTGCAGACTTTTACAAAAAAGAAATCCTACAACTGCTTTTTTACATTTTGTGAGGATGGAAGTTGTGCTCATGTCTTCTTTGGAGGTTTATGTGTCGTTTTGTTCAGTCGTTCTCGGTGCAGCGCCCCCTCATGTCAGGGGATGAACAGGCGTTTCAGCCGGTCTGGTTAGTTTGCCACAGTGCAGTGGAAAGAGAACAGCAGCAGCTGAAAATGTAACAAATGTTTCAATTTTGGTCCCCCAGTGGAACCAAGTCTACCAGAGTATCAGGTGGGAAAACACCCCAACAGAGTGGACTCCCCATCATAATTTGACCAGAGCCCCCAATTCTTCAGCTTCTAAACAATCAACTCAGAAGAAAATGTTTTCTTGCTGCTAATATGCATTAGAGAGTTTCAGTACTTTTCAGTTTCTCCCCAATGGTCAAAATTTTCTGCCTGATAGTTGTGGAGACGTGTCAGTGCTAGGGTGAGTATTTGCTGCTCTGTTTCCCCTCATCTCGTCAGAGATCATTGTGCAGAGTCCTCCGGGATGAGTGTGTCAGCTGTTTGTCCCGACGCTGCCAACTGGCCCATCTTCAGGATGACACACTCCGTCCTGTTAGCGTCCGTTTTCATGACGCCGTTGGGAGATGGTGACTCCTGGTGTTTGGAACGTTTGGGGAAGAGAAAGATATTGTCGGTTCAGCACAGTTTCCATGCTGGGTCAGAGCACAGAACAGAGCCGAGAACAGAGGCTAAATGGTTCTGACGCACACAGCATGACCAGACAAAATACTGTGGGTCAGTCCGCAGGGAGGAGTCATGAAACAGCAGCAGTGTTTAGCCAGGATGAGCGCTCCTGTCTGTTAGCCACCAAAACATGAGTTCATGCTCCAATGACCAGCCACAAACAAATATAGATCACAGGGCTTTGAGAAGTTAGTTAATGTGTTTCACCACATGTTAACATTTAAGACAATAAAAACAGCTACAGCTTGAAGTCTTCAGTGATAACTTCACATTTTTCTAAAATAGTTTTCCTTTCTTTCAGGAAGAAAGAAAGGATTATATTTTTTGCATATATTTTTAGATTATGTTTTTATAATCTAAAAATATATGCAACATATTTTTAGATTAGAAAAGTGATCTAATTTGACAGACTTTTACATCAGATCTGAAAGTCTCCTATTTTTTCTCTTCTCTTCTTCTCTCTCTGTAGTTATATCTGGGTATTGTGCTTTCGGCTGTTGTCGTCGTCACCGGCTGCTTCTCCTATTTTCAGGAAGCTAAGAGCTCCAAGATCATGGAGTCCTTCAAGAACATGGTCCCTCAGGTGCAAATGTCTTTTGTGGTTTTTGCTTTTTTTCCTAAATCTCTAACAAACATAGATAGTGAATCTTTCTATGCTGTTTTCACAGTGTTTAAAAAAAAGAACCCTTCCAAAATGTTTTTTGGCACCATTTCAAGGTTTTGTTTTCTTATGTAACTGAGTTTTATGGCAGTCAGATGTTTCTACATTAAATTTTATTCCTGTAAAACTTTTTGCTTTGTACCAGTTGATACCCAACTTTTTTGCCACAACTTTTTTTTATCTTTCTATACCAGTTAAAACATTTAGCTATGAATTATCTCATGACTGCCTTCCGTTCCCAGCAAGCCTTGGTGATCCGAGAGGGAGAGAAGATGCAGATCGATGCCGAGCAGGTGGTGGCAGGAGACCTGGTGGAGGTGAAGGGAGGCGACCGGATCCCCGCTGACCTCCGCATCATCTCCTCCCATGGTTGCAAGGTGTCCACAAACAAAAAAAATTAAGCTCTATCAACTTATCTATTTAAAGAACTAATTTTAAACGGTTTTCCTGCGTTTCCAGGTTGACAACTCATCCCTGACTGGAGAATCGGAGCCCCAGACCAGGTCACCTGAGTGTACCCATGACAACCCTCTGGAAACCCGAAACATTGCCTTCTTCTCCACCAACTGTGTCGAGGGTAACTTCACTACTGTCAAGTTCATAATGGTCTTTATAAATTTAACATTAATGTAGACAACAAACAACCCTTTCATCTGTGCAATGTATTTATAGAGTAGAAAGGTGTAGCAGACAAGTGACGTTGTTTTTAATTATCAAGTAACATGGTTTATTAAATAAAATAATGCAACTTCCCTTTTTTGGGCTGCACAGTGGCACAGGTTTTAGTACTGTTGCTTTGCAGCAAGAAGGTCCTGGGTTTGAATCCTGGCCTGGGTCTGGAGTTTGCATGTTCTCCCAGTGCATGCGTGGGTTCTGTCCTGGTACTCCAGCTTTCTCCCACATTCCAAAAGCATGACTGTCAGGTTGATTGGTCTCTCTAAATTCTTCTTATGTGTGGTTGTGTGTGTATGACTGTTTGTCCTGTCTGTCTCTGTGTTGCCCTGGGTTAGGGTTATGGTTACCTGTGCAGGGTGATGACGCCTCTCGCTTGTTAACCGATAGGCACCAGCTCTCCTCGTGACCCCACTAGGGATAAACATATAATAGGCTGGATGGGATTTCCATTCTTTTTCCACATGCTTTGAATAGACTAATAAGTAGATTAGAAATTTATATAAGAAGCACTACAGGGATATTTTGACATTTGTGTGAATGTAATTATTGTTTTCCAACTTCAGCTTCATATGTTTGTAATGCATTTTGCTATTAAAGATAAAACTATGATGATCCTAATTAGACAATAGTTTAAAATTCCTGCTATATTTATCATTTTTCGCCTGGTGCCCTCTTGTGGTCACAATTCATGTCTCGTGCTTTCAAGTTAAATCAAACAGTCAACCCTGTTTATGCTTTCATTTATTGTGATTCTATGTAATAATGTTGATTAGTTTCTGTTTTTAACTTCCTGTGTTTTTTTAATGCCATAAGTGTAACAGTGTTCTCTAACCTTGTCTCTAGGAACTGCTCGTGGAATCGTCGTGTGTACCGGTGATCGTACAGTGATGGGTCGCATCGCCACACTCACCTCAGGCCTGGAGACCGGCAAGGTAACAACTTCATGTCCACAGGCCACGCCCTGCAGCGGCGCATTAAAGCTCCTGATTCACAAGAACATCAGTTAAAGATGGTTATCAAATATTTATGCCTACTTTATCCAGTTTCTCTACTTTTTGGGTTTACAGATGGTTGTGTACGTTTATTTTTCTGCCGTAACAAAGTAGTTTCAGCTTATCTGAGCTTCAAAAAGTGAGATAAGGTTCATCGTTTCATTTAAGGTTAAAAACAGGTTATTTAAAGCATAAAGCTGCCAGCACTCTTATAAAAGATCTACATTTGAACAAGACTTTGTTTTTCATCTTTTTTCAGACACCCATTGCCAGGGAGATTGAGCACTTCATCCATATCATCACTGGCGTGGCCGTCTTTCTTGGTGTGACCTTCTTCATCCTTTCGCTGGTCCTGGGCTACACCTGGCTGGAGGCTGTCATCTTCCTCATCGGCATCATCGTCGCTAATGTCCCTGAAGGACTTCTGGCTACTGTCACCGTGAGTTTTCAGAGAAACTGGTTTGAGTGTTTGTGGTGTTTTTATCTTTGAAAAAAACGGGGGGGGGGGGGGGGGTGGTTAGACAATCATTTCTGTAATGTTTCTGTCGAGTTGGGATTTTGTTATAGCTACATTTTGTGTGTTGTCCTTTATATTTGTTGTAGGTAGAGGAGGGCAATATGGACTACAAGTTTTATCACAATATTTTGTGGTAGTATTTTGATAACAATAAAATGATAAGAATTATTTATTACTTGTTTTAGGTCACTTTTACTTGCATAGCTCCACAAACACAAATGCACTTGAAAAATATTTCACTAAAATACTATTTTACTGAACATTGGTAGATTTGTTGTTACTGTCAGTCTGTTGTGTGTTTGTTTCAGTGTGTGTTTTGTAACTGCAGTGATTATGCTGAACGTTTTGTCTTGTGGTGTTTTTTTCTCTTAGTTTTGTGTTTTTGTGCTGTAACTGTGTCTGGCTCAGTTTTTGTATCTGTGCTGAATGTGTTCAGTTCTCTCTCCGTGTGTGTGTCTTTGTACCAAAGCACTCATGTGGTTGTGTGTTTCTCTTTGTCCATTCTCCTCTCTGTAATGTCTCTCCCCTCTTTTCCAGGGCGGGGCTTTCTGCAATGACAACAGCTAGTTAATGTAATGACATTAGGTCTGCTACTTTTTAGCTTGATAGTCTGAACTTGGCCTCCTTGGCTCGGCCTTGGCTTGTTCTGTTTGGCCCTTTGGCCTTGCTGTACTTGGCTCAATACCATAATGCCGGGGTGTCAAACTCATTTTCATTTCGGGCCATATCAAGATGATGAATGTTCTCAAAGGGCAGATTGTGCCAGAATGCATTGCTAAAACCTATTAACCTCTTAATTAAAATATTAATAAATAGCTGTGTCTGCATTCAATGAGAACTTTAAAATTATGCATATTGATCATATTTTCACACTGGTCAGTCCCTCCAAGATTTTGCAATTGTTTTTGTGATATTTAGCTATCAAAATCACAGATTTTGTGGTGCTACTTTAGAAATATTTGCATGGAATTTTGCAATATTTACGCTGATGTATGACAGTAAATGTGACTTTTTGTTACTTGCCACATCAATCAGACTATAACCTGACATCAAGATAGACTGAGGCAGCATGGTATTACAATTAAGAAACACTGCCACCTGCAGGTGGGAGTTAGCATTGCTTAAACCCAAAGTTTTAAACCACTTTTGCAGAAAATTTGCAATAAATTCACAATTGTGCTTTATAATAGTAATGCAGGGCTTTGTTGATTTTTGCATGAATTTTTGCGGTCGTGAAAAACTGGAGGGACTGATCGATGAAATTTGGCAGTGTACAGATAAAACCTGGTTTGATTTGATCAAATCTGATAAAATAATATTTAAACACACAGCTGTTCTCTTCAAGGTTCTATTTATGTGGCCCTGGAGTCCAGAGGGCCACATAAAAAGCTATGACGGACCAGATTTGGCCACTGGGCCTCGAGTTTGACACATGTCCCATAATGCATTGCTGTTCTGCTGCGTCACCTCACTCAGTCATGCCTCTGCATCGCTTTATTGGCTGTTTATACTTCTCAGAAGGAATGTTGATGTTAGTGCATTTTGCTGAGCTGTTAAGGAGAATAAAGTTGTTCGGGAATCTCGTTTGGGCTGTTTCTTATTTGGTTTAGTTTCCTACTAATTAACTCTGCTCAAGCAGATGCTCCTCTAACGTCAGGTTCCCCCATATAAACGCACTAATTTATCTTTATTCTTTTCTTTCTTTGTTGTAATCGCCATCTATCCATCCTTCTCTTCCTCCGTTTGTCTCCTCCTTGGCCTCCCTCTCTGGCATCACTCTGTCCTTCCAGGTGTGTTTGACTCTGACTGCGAAGCGAATGGCCCGTAAGAACTGCCTGGTGAAGAACCTGGAGGCTGTGGAAACTCTGGGTTCCACCTCCACCATCTGCTCCGACAAGACCGGCACCCTGACCCAGAACCGGATGACCGTGGCCCACATGTGGTTCGACAATCAGATCCACGAGGCTGACACGACTGAAGACCAGTCTGGTGAGAAATATGGACTGGGAGGAGTTTCAGTTCATCCTTAACAAGAACTAGTTCTGAGTTCAACCAGGTTTTTATGTAGTTTATTTTATATGTAGCTCAATAACCAATTAGCACCTTGATTATGTCATCGCCTAGCATTTGTAAGATAATCATATTTTGTCATTAGGCTCTCATTTTGTCTTCTATAAAAACTATTTTTACAATAAGTGAATTCCCAACCAGCTGCTCTAATTCACATATTAAATGCTTTTCTCATTAGAGGAGGAGGTCATTGCTGGCCTCTGGTTTAGATTTATAAACACTGACCGGAAACTTTGTTTTAATCAATATTTAAGACCATATAAATAATAGAGAAGTGTTTCAAATCAACACTGACAGACTAAAAGACAACAGCACAATAATAAAATAATAATAATAATTGTACAAAGCAATGAAATTACTCTTGTTGGTATTATGAAAATCAAATTTATCATCTGACTTGTTTGTACAATAATATCTTAATTGTAAAACTAAAGCTCAACTCTGCTCTTTTCACCTACACACACACACACACACACACACACACTGTGCATGTTATCTATCTGATTCCCAACCATGAGCCCTTGTTACTTCCAAAGCGCCTAAATGTAGGTCAACAGGTCTGTGAGGACGCTGGTGTCCCCATGGCAGATAAGAGGTTAAAATAAATCTTAAATTCAGCTAAACACCTCATGAAATGTACTGCTGGTAAAGTTTTTATATGTTCAACAATCTACAAAAAAACAAAACCGCTATTTGCCCTGTTAGTTTTAGAGCATTAAGTTCTCAAGAGTTCAGTGTAGAAGAGACTCGATAAGAAATCAGATTTTAGTTGTGTAGCAGGAAACACCCAGACATCGGATAAAGTAGTTTTCTTTTGACTCTTTTAGGTTCCTCTTTCGACAAAAGTTCACTAACATGGGTATCTCTGGCTCGCGTTGCTGGACTGTGCAACCGTGCTGTGTTCAAGGCCGGTCAGGAATCTCTGCCCATCCTGAAACGTGATGTAGCCGGCGACGCCTCCGAGTCAGCTCTGCTCAAGTGCATCGAGTTGTCCTGTGGCAGTGTCAAAAGCATGAGGGACAAGTACAAGAAGGTGGCTGAGATCCCCTTCAACTCCACCAACAAGTATCAGGTAGTCGCTGATCCAATAGTTCTTGGACTAGGTCAGACCAGAAGCCGCAAACTCTGAAACGACTCTTTATTAAACACACAATGAAATATTGTTCCCATTCAGCTTTCAGTTCATGAAACTATGGAAGAAAATGTAAGTCCGTACCTGCTGGTGATGAAGGGAGCCCCTGAAAGGATCCTGGACCGCTGCTCCACCATCATAATCCAAGGCAAAGAGCAGCCAATGGACGACGAGATGAAGGAGGCTTTCCAGAACGCCTACCTGGAACTGGGAGGACTGGGGGAGAGAGTACTGGGTAAGAATAAACCCCAGGTTAATGCCAGGCACAAAGAAATTAAACCAAGTTAGTAAAGAAATGATGTGTGATAAATTGAAATGACACGGGAAGAATCGAAAGTTTGGAAGTTAATGAAATATATTGAGAGTTTGTACTGGTGCTTGAAATCCTAGAAAATGTTTCCATTTCATTTAAGTGTTTTCAAGGTTTGGAAAGTGCTTGATATTCAAACTGTAGAGTTTTGTAATAAAGTTCAATCTAATGTTTGATTAATGCCTAAATTTGGAAAACATTATTCACACTTGAAACCAGATATTTTCATACAAGACACATGCTCATTTTTTCTCACTGTCTGAAGTTAAACCAGACCAAATCTTTCTTGTTTTATTCATTTAGAATTAAAAAAATTTTTGTAACTTTATTTGTATGTTGGTTATGCTAAGGTTAACATGAACATATTCAAAACGTATTTACAGTTCTCTTTTCCTGCCCCTTCCAGGTTTTTGCCACCTGTTCATGCCACAGGACAAGTATCCCAAAGGCTTTTCCTTCGACACAGATGATGTCAACTTCCAAATAGACAACCTTTGCTTTGTTGGCCTCATGTCTATGATCGATCCTCCTCGCGCCGCCGTCCCTGATGCTGTGGGAAAATGTCGCTCCGCTGGCATCAAGGTGAAAACCTTCCAGTTCCAGCTTTAAAGTTAGAGAAGCCCAGAAAATCAGCACAGCTAAAACATTTGTAAATATGTTTCTATTGCAGTTCTACTCTTTGATACAAGTTCCAGTCCAAATTCAATTTAACTTTAATTATAAAGAAGCTTATGCAACCACAACAGACCAAAGTGCTGTAAGGAGAAATGCATCCACTGTGTGACCAATTATTAGGCAAATCGTATTTCTGAAGAGTATATTTATTATCATCTATTTGTCCAATCATTGTAACACTGAAGATTAACTCTGCTCTCGTTATGTATCAGTGATTTCTAACATTAAATGAAAGGCTTCCTAGTGAGTTCAGCAACTCATTAACATGTCATTTTATTTTGGTAAATTATTTTCTAATTATGCCTCCTATTTGCTGTTCTGAAGGTTATTATGGTGACTGGTGACCATCCAATCACAGCCAAGGCCATTGCTAAGGGAGTCGGGATCATTTCTGAGGGCAATGAGACGGTGGAAGACATCGCTGCTCGCCTCAACATTCCTGTCAGCCAAGTTAACGCCAGGTCAGACAGCAGGCCCACATTTATGCATCTAGTCTTATTCCATTGATGAATAACATGAGGGATTATTTAGATCATCAATTGAAGGAATATAATAATTACATTCATGACAGCTGTGTTTATCATTTGGAGGAAACTGTTGCTTGAAATTGTTTTTGTTTTGTAGGGATGCCAAGGCCTGCGTGATCCACGGCACAGATCTGAAAGACCTGACTCAGGACCAGATAGACGACATTTTGAAGAACCACACAGAGATAGTCTTTGCTAGAACTTCCCCACAGCAGAAGCTCATTATTGTCGAAGGTTGCCAGCGACAGGTAGAGTCAATAAACATTACAGTTGATTCTAGCTGTTCATTAGTAGATCTCCTGTTGTATATTTGGTCTGATAATATGAATGTGGAACGTTCCGTCAGGGAGCCATCGTGGCTGTGACAGGGGACGGCGTGAATGATTCTCCGGCGCTGAAGAAGGCAGACATCGGCGTTGCCATGGGGATTTCTGGCTCTGACGTGTCCAAACAAGCAGCAGACATGATCCTGCTGGACGACAACTTTGCTTCCATTGTGACTGGCGTGGAAGAAGGTGTGTGATTTAAAAACAAAGCAGGTGTTAGAGATTGGAGCAAGTAAAAAGTTCAGAAATGAACCTGAAATAAAAGCACAATTAAAACAGCTTTACTATTGTAAATATGATCTATTTTACAGGCCAAACCTTTTGTGTCTGCAAACCCTGACTAAATACTTGTCATGTTTTTGTCTTCAGGACGCCTGATTTTTGACAACCTGAAGAAGTCCATCGCTTACACCCTGACCAGCAACATCCCAGAGATCACCCCATTCCTGTTCTTCATCCTGGTCAACATCCCTCTGCCGCTGGGCACCATCACCATCCTCTGCATCGACCTGGGAACCGACATGGTGAGAACAAAGTGTCAGTCAGAACCGATCACTCCTAGGTTCTACATTTTCCCACAGATTCAGCATTTCTACACACTTTGATGGATTAAACAATAAGTTTGCATGCAAAGAGAATCAAAATATATGAGCTGTAAATAAACATAAAACAATATCAGTTAATGAGTCACTAGGAAACATATGGCTCGTTGAGTGTAACTGCAAATTAGGTGCAAACTGCAAAAACAATTTTATCATGATGTCATTGTCTAAGTACTGCCTCATATAAATGCAGAGGTATCTAAAGAATAATACAGACCAACACTAGTTAAAGTACCAACTCTTAAAGCTTGGCTAATGAAAAGATTATCTTTGGTATGTTCATTTTTCTTTCTGAAGAATAAAGAAAACACAGAAAGTGATAAACAATGTTCTTCATCTGTCAGGTTTAAATTTGCTCTTACAGCAGTGAATTTATCACTTTTTTCAGGTCAAATCTGAGTCATGTAACATTTTTCATTTATCTTTCTACATTTAAGACATAGAGCTGTAGATTTGTTACCAACATTGAGTCCTGTTTACATCCATATGGTTTCTACAGTTCTTGTAGTATTGATGAGGCACATGTCTTTCAGGCTCTTATTCTCACACTGATGTGAGGATGTGAAAAACGTTAGGGCAGCTGAATGATAAAATAACTAAGTATTTTGTCCCTTTGGCAAAAAATCTCAAATTGAGCTCATTCACTTGTTTACTGTCGATCGGTTGAGCTTCTTCTGCTCACCTGAAACTGTTCATGTAAACATTTTAGAAATAGTTTTTCTTTCTGTGAATGAAATGTTTGTTTACGTTTCCATTAAATTGATTGAGGTTTGACGAATAAACCATGTTTGTTCTGTTTGAGGTTCCTGCTATTTCTCTGGCCTACGAAGCAGCAGAAAGTGACATCATGAAGCGCCAGCCAAGGAACCCGCTGAGGGACAAACTGGTCAACGAGAGGCTCATCAGTATCTCATATGGACAGATTGGTGGGTTATCTTCTACCACCAGAGTTATAAAACATGAACTATATTCACACTGGGGCTACACTAACCAGCATGCTATGCTCTGTTTCTGCAGGCATGATCCAAGCTCTTGGTGGCTTCTTTGCCTATTTTGTTATCATGGCTGAAAACGGTTTCCTGCCGTCTCACCTTGTTGGTATCCGGCTGAACTGGGACGATCGCTCTAACAACGACCTGGAGGACAGCTACGGCCAGCAATGGGTACCAGTCTCTCTGTTGTCATGTTAGCCTTCTGACTTCTCTGTTGATGTCAGCCACATGGAACAAACATGAAAAACATCACAATAACTAATTTTCTGATGTGATGATGGTGTGAAGCCAAGCAGCACTGAAACAGGAACATGTTCTGTTTTTTCTGCCAGACGTATGAGCAGCGGAAGATCGTAGAGTTCACCTGCCACACAGCCTTCTTCGTCAGCATCGTGGTGGTGCAGTGGGCCGACGTCATCATCTGCAAGACCAGACGCAACTCCGTCTTCCAGCAGGGAATGAAGTGAGGATGAAATGATCTCAAAGCATCGGCAAAAATAGACCTTAAAAAATTCTGATCATGAAAGGCTTTCTTTAAAAAGAAATGACTTGTGTCCTCAGATGATTACAGGTCTTCCAGTAGATTAGCAGAAACATTCTTGAACCAGGAAGTTTATTTAACAATCAACATCAAGCTGATCTGAGTTTAATGGCAGGTGAAAAATCTGGAACAAAAGATCCAGCTTTCAATCAGCTTTTAAACATTGCAGTTCCTCACTGCAGCCACATGGTGGCAGTAATAAACCAGATGTTCTCTGACAGCATTTAGAGCCTGATGAGGATGTGATTACAGAGCAAATTGAGACGAGTCCACACTTTTGTTTTTTTCTGGCTCAACTCTGGGTTCCTCCTTTCCCCTCTGTTACTCTGGATTTCCTGCTACATCTTAAATTCTCCTAACGTTGCATTTTACCTGTGATCGCTCAAATTGTTTCTCCTTCGTTTGTTTTGCAGGAATAAGATCCTGATCTTTGGGTTGTTTGAGGAAACGGCTCTGGCTGCGTTCCTGTCCTACTGCCCCGGGTTGGACGTGGGGCTCCGGATGTACCCACTCAAGTAAGAAACCTGCACTACACGTTCAAACCTGCAAAGAACAATAAATTCAGATAAAGGTCATTTGTTTCTTTAAATCTAGTTACTATAGTCTTATTTCTCCTCTCCTACTTTATTTTAGCAGCTCAGTAAAGCGTAGTGATTTTCTTTTTTTAGTTTTTGTTCTCCCCTTCGAGGCCCGGTCTGTCCCGATCCACTCTCACCCTGACTGTTGTCTCTCCTCAGGCCCACCTGGTGGTTCTGTGCGTTTCCGTACAGTTTCCTCATCTTTGTTTACGACGAAATCCGAAAGCTCATCATTCGCCGAGACCCTGGAGGTAAGTTCAGACCCTCGCCCACTTTGATAGCAGAGGCTCATTTCAGTCATGACCTGAGTCAGTAACTGGTGGCTCCCTCTTCTTCTCCTGTCCCTTTCTTCCTCTTCTGCAGGCTGGGTGGAAAAAGAGACTTACTATTAAATCATCAAAACATCCTTTGCTTCTATCCCATCCTTCCCTAAACTCGCCCCTGCTTCTGTCCCTGCCTTCCCTTCTCCATCCACTCATGTGTTGCTCCTTTCATTTTCTCTAAAGTACTAGAGAAAATGATGTTTACTCATCCTTCCATCTTTTCTTCACTCCCCCATGTTCATTTCTAAACTAAAAACACAACTGCCAAGACAACGAGAGGACCAACAGCAGAAGGGTTGAGGATGGGGGAGGCGTGGCCTTCTTACAGCCCCTCCCCATCCTCTCCGTCCCTCTGTCCTTTTTCTATCCAAAGTCTGTACAGCACTAATCTGCCAGAGCCACAGTTTGTGCCGACATCGTTCCTCCACTGCCGGCTTCAGCCGCTCATCGTTAGCGCGCTCGATATTCCGCCGCTGCTCGGTGCTCCGCAAACATCCTGATCCACGAGTTAAAAAACCCGACTGTTCCTCCGCCCGCCTCTGGAGCGGAGCGGACGTCCCGTTTCTGTCCACCTCTGGAGTCGAACGGCCCAGATCCAGCTGCGTAATCACTGCCATTCCTCCTCTTTACTCACTGCCGTCCTCCTCTTCCTCCTCTTCTCACCAGTGAGCCAAGCGCTCACCGACGTCCCGGCAGGGTGGAAGAAAGGCTCCACTCCCTCCCCCCTCCTCCCATCCCTGTATTCTTCTCTGTTAATCGTTTTCTAATAGATGACTGCGTGTTTTTTAAAAACTCAATTGTTTGTAAAAGTTTTGTGTTTCTTTTTCTTTTTAAGTTCAGAGTGGGTCTGAGAGCTGCTTGTTTTCATTCGGACATGACAAAGCACACCGTCCCTCCTTATCCCTCCTCTTCTTACCCCCCACCCCTCCTCTCCTGTCGATCTGTCCCAGTTTCTGTCTGTTTGTGAACACTGTGGAAACCCTCCGTCCTCCTCAAACCCGACCAGATCTCACTCCTGTTCCCTTCTCCTTTAAAAAATAAAGAAAACAATCTTTCTGTGTCCTAGGAAAAAGAGATTTCTCTCCAGTTTCAGTCTTTAAATCTATGGAAAATGTGGAATAAGGCCCTGTACCTTAGCTCCTGAAACAGCAGCAGATGAAAAAAAGAGAGTTAAATTAAATAAAAACAGAAGGATCTCTCTTGTTCAGCTTGATCTCCAGTTTGTTTTGTGTGGAGTTATGTCAAAAAAATGGGAATAAATTCTGTGACCAACTCTTACATGTGGCAGCAGTGTCAAGTTGTCTCTTCTTCTCCCTCTCAGCTTCATTAAGTCACAATAAACAAATCAGGACTGAAAATGCATTTATTATGATTCCTAAAGAATGGAAAAACATCAAATGAAATAACAGATGTAAACCTTCATTTCCTCACCTAATGCAGCATTAAGGAGGAATCCTTCAAAGGGAGTTCTTGTTCTTACAATTTCATTAACTGTCTTCTGAATTTTATCTTAAAAATAATCATCCCACTCATTCAGTTATGTTGACACTTGGTCAGAACATTTTTTATCTTTCATCAGTGTTTTTAATCTCCTTTGTGTAGAAAAAAATGCTCGTGAGATAAAAAAACCTGTTAAAAGTAACAGCTTTAAGCATCATCAGTTACATCACTGCTTTTGAAAGAATAATACGAGTACTTGGATTAAAAAGTTAATTGAAAAATATGAAGAGACCGAAATTGCCTGCTGAGTTGATCTCAAACACTTTCAAAAGGAAATGAAAGCCAGGAAGTTGGAAGAAAACAAATTACTGTTTGGATAGATGAAAGAAAATCCAAAAGGCCAATATCTCAGCTAATGATCTGCTACAGAGTCATCAAAGCTCTGCATTTACCTGTGAGTCCTGAAGTAAAAATATGAACTGGATAGGCCTGAAGAAAACCAGAGATACGTTTATGGTCTAACCTGTTCTTTTTAGTCAGCTGACCACATCTTAGCACTGGGTTCCCACTGTGATGCACGGTGGTGCAGGCGTCATGATACGGGCGTGTGTGTTCCATAGCATGCCTGTAGTTGATGGATTCAGTCTGAATCCATCAACCTGAAGAGGTCATTTTAAGAAGCGAATTTGTGTTTTTACGGAATAAAGAACACAAAAAGGAAATCAGCAGCCAGTCGAGTTCTGGACCAAAATTCAATAGGAAACCTGTAGGGAGACGTTCAGCGTGTGGAGGAACAGAGGAACATTGGCCAATATTGACTTTAGACATTTTCACAACATACAGCACACACAATATTTTCCATAAGCTAAATATTAACATGTATTAATAAATTATCAATGAATACAAACAAAGGATGTTCCAATGAGGGATTTTCCCTCAGGATGTGGCCAACATGGTGGCATTAATCAGACCTTCTTCACTTTGTTCACCATTCAGCTCAAACAGCATCTTCATCAGTGTCTACACAGTTAAAACTATGAAACCTGTGTTTTAATGTCTATAATTAAACCATCATATCACGGTGATCAACTGAACGACCAGCAGACAAGAAGGCAGCCATGTTGGACCGTTGAACTGAAATCTGGCATTCAGCAGGAATTCATCTACATTTTTAGAAACATGTGGGTCACCTGCAGCTGCGGTCTTTGCCCTTGTTCTTCTGAGCAAACCATGTTTTTTTTAAGGATCCCTTCACTTGTGCAAATAAACACACTCAGACTGGGAGCACTGGTGTTCATGTTTCATGAATACCATTACAAGGCTCACAGAGCAAATGAGTGCTGCTGCCCGGTTGACTCCCAGCGTCGTAACCCAGGGAAATGGGTCACCTCCTTATACTTTCTGCTAAAAACTGCAGAAATATGCTGTATTTTCTATTAGAGCTCAGCTGCAAGTGCTTGGAAAGTAAATCATGAGCCAGTTTGAGACATCTTCTAATAAGACTAAAACAAATCTGAGAACCCAGTTATGAAAAGGGCAATAAAACGCCCTTCCTCCCCCAGTGTCGGCGCTCTCCTCTGAAGGATAAGGCCGTGCAGATAATGGAAGGATGGATGTCTTATTAAGCACATTTACCATCCGCAGGAGGACAGAAGGTCACCTGTGTGATGTGAACTTTCCTTCTGATAACGATCTTTGACTTAAGCTTTTGCTGAAAATGTCTTCCCGATGTCCTGCTCTGTTGGAAATGACAGATAAATGTAGATCCCATCTCTCTCTACAACCTGAACCCCCAGCCACCCACCCACCGCCCAAACGCCGATCTTTAAAACCTGCTTCAGTTTTAGAAATAAAAAATAAAAAACTGACAACATTGGTGCTTCAAAAAACCTCAAAAGGACACAGAAATGGAGGTGAAACATCAGATATAAAGATTTTTCTCTTCAGAATCAATTTTAAGGTTCTTTTTCAACAAGCGTGCACGGATCTCTGGGCGGTCGATTAAAATAGGAAATATTTCTATCATTTATGTCTACTTGGGTTATTTTTGAAGCTAGTTTTTATCTAGTTATTTCTTTAGCAAAAATTCATGGAAATTCAAGTCATTTACATTGCTGTGATGCATTTTCCCTTCAGAATGCCTGTGGGGGAAAATATGAACACTGCATATGTTTTCCAGCTTTTTTTCATAAAACACTCTTAAATGAGCTCAGCACTTTTTTCCTCCACTATAGACATTTAAATGATCGTCTTTAATGTCATTGTAGAGTTATTGTTTATTGATAACAAAAAAAAGTACGACCCACAAAATAAATGGGATGATTAGAGTCCTGGATATGTCAAAGAAAATGAATATAACTGATTTTAGTGCATTACCATTGCTATGTGATGATATTTGACATTTCTGCTATTTTTCACCAGATTAAACAAGTAAAAGTTTAGGGGTTTTTTGCGTTTCCATGTGATAACTAATGAAAATAAAATATTTTAGTTGGCATTTAAAGTGTTTAAAAGGATTGAATTGTGTTTTTGAGAATGTCAGTTTTTTTGTAGTTTATGAAAAAGAAAAGCAGAAAATTCTGATGTGTGATGATTTTTAGTGGCACATTTTTCCCATAAATGTATTTACAGGGATTTAAATCATTGAGAAAAGGAGAGATTTTCAGTCTGGCCTTGAAACATTTTAGTTTTATTTAATTTACTTTTCCAGTGTTTTTTTTCAGTGTCTGTTTAGTTTAACCATCCTGGGTTATTTAAATGGTTTTATTTACCTTTTATTCAACACATTTTTTATCACTGATGTTTGAATTTATATATTATCTAATAATACATTAGCAGGACTTTTACCTTTTAGCATTTAGTGTTAATATTTCTGAATAAAATCTTTAGCTTGTATTGAAATAAAAGTAAATAATAGCTCATTCTATAATGTCCAGGATTGTATTTTCTTTTCTGATCTGGTCATTCTGGCGGGTTGCGTTCACAACTGTTAGCTGAATTTATAAAAAGAATTCAGTTTGACAGGTGGAAAACATTTTGTCTCCATAAACCTTCACAGATTTACTTCTCTGTTGTGGAGAGTTTCTGTTTTTCTCCTCTTTTGTCCAGTTTTGTACATATTACACAGTCATGAGCCGTAGTTTACGCTCAGACCTCATGAACTGCGTTCAGAGCTCACAGTGAGGGAAGTGAGGCGGTTTCTGCAGCGCTGCATGCGTCGTCAGTCGGAGGCTGTTGCTGCACGCGCGCGCCGCCGAGCCTCTCCTCATCCTCAGCCTCACGCAGACACAGATCCACCGGCAAACATCTGTTAGAATATAAAAAGGAGAGGAGATGCCTCATAGCGCTGCAGCTCCACTCCACTCATTATGACACACACACACTCATCCTTTTCTTATCCTCTCCACATACACACACACACCATCTCTCAATCTCCTACCCGATTACACCCGCACACTAAAACCCCTTTCTCCACACCTCCCCAACACTCTACCTTCCCTAAAACCTTTTTTGCTTCCTCTGACACACACACACACGCACACACACCTCCCCCCACCCCCATTCCAGTAATCTGGCTGGCCCGTGGCCTCCTCTCTCTCGCTCCACTGTTCTGTGTGATAGAATATCGATCGGTTTGCCTCGGCTCGGCGTGGAGCAGGAGGAGGGGGCAGCTGCAGGGCTATAGGGTGTGTGTGTGTGTGTGTGTGTGTGTGTGTGTGTGTTGTATGGGGGGGGCAGTGGTCAGACATGCTCCAAGGTTGTTACCACAGCAACAGCAGGATGGGTCAGAGGGTTGCCATGGCGTCCAG